AAAAATGAGTTCGGGGTAAAGCCATTGAAATTCCAAAAAGTGCAAGAACTTGCACCGCAACAGAAAGAAAATAGACTCACAGGAGATGAAGAGTTGCTTCGCTTGGCTGAAAGTGGTGAACCGCCGAATTTTGTTTTCTTGGACATTCCAACAGGACTCAGCACCATCGCACTCAGCACGCGCCACCCAAGAATGGTTCCTGGCTTCATTTCCATGGCCACCAAACCGTTGGACTATTGTGTCTGGAGAACTTTGGAAAGCAAGGTTGACTCTAAAAAATACCAAAGTTTCCATCACCTCAAGCAAGCGCTTCGCCGGGAATGGGTCAAAATACGGCAGAGCAACATTCGGGCAGCGTGTGACGGTTTCATTGGCCATTTGAAGGTCATAATTCGTGCCAAAGGTGACCAAAGGTGAGCACGCGCCACCCAAGAATGGTTACAAAATGAGGTTCCTGGCTTCATTTCCATGGCCACTAAAATCTCCGAATACCAATCCGTTGGACTGCTGTGTCGGGGGTATTTTGGAAAGCAAGATTGGCACTAAAAAATACCGATCACCTCTAGCAAGCGCTTGGCAGGGAATGGGCCAAAATACCGCAGAGCAACATTCGGGCAGCGTGTGACGGTTTCATTGGCCGTTTGAAGGCCATAATTCGTGCCAAAGGTGACCAATTCGAGCAGATCTAAACTTAATCTAAAATTGGATGCTATTTCCGATATTTTTTGCTTTCATTCAATAAAATTTAAAAAAAAATGTAAAAATTAAGGCCTTTTGACTTTGTTGCAGTTTTTTTTATCTCACCCTGTATAGCTACAATTTGAGTTTAAAGCTGATCTGGCGCAAAAGTAATCCTCATATCAGAAAATGCTCTAAGTTTTACGATTGGCCCCTAATGTCTTAATTACAGCCAAAAACCTTCAGACGTTTACTTTTGCGCCACCTTGTACAGGGTTGCCCATATTCGACGGACCCATCTGGCAACGCCATAACTTTTGACGGAGATGTCACATCGCTTAATGACATACCGCGTTTGAAGCGTCAGTCCAAGCAGATTTTTACCATGATCCAATACACGTCACGCGAGCTCTCTGAAGTTTACATTCAACAGAAGAAGTCAATTGTGAAAACTCAACGTGCTTTTAAAACATTAAAAAATGTGAGAAGTGCGCCTTCTAAGAACACCATTAAGCGTTTATACGAAAATTTTCCGACTGGTAAGGCTCTTTCTAATCCGAAGAGGCCATATAAAAGTCGACCAAGGCGATCGGCTGAGAATATCGCTGCCGTTCGAGCCAGTGTTGAGAGGTCCCCAAGAACATCCCAAAACCGCCGTTCTCAGCAGTTGGGCATGGCTCGGTCCACTTTACAACGGATTATTCGCATTGATTTACATTTGTTCCCGTACAAAATTCAATAGACGCAAAGAATGTTGCCTGCGGACAAGCCTTGTCGATTGGAATGGGCCCAAAGGTCCGTCGAATATGGGCAACCCTGTACATACATACTTGACAGACATTCCGATGTTTTTTTTTTTTTTTTTGGTGTAATTAAGACATTAGGGGCCAATCGTAAAATTTGTAGCATTTTCTGATAGGAGGATTACTTTTGCGTCACCTTGTAAATGGCAAGGAATGTCCATTTTGTAGTCGAGGTATTTGATTCTCAAACTCCCAAGGTATTCCAAAATCTGCTTATTATTAATAAATAACTGAATCTCTTTAAATAATTCAAACATTTTTTTTTTCAAAAATTCTTCACGGAGAAAAGAAAATCTTAACTTTTTCAGAATCATAACAACGTCTCACATATATCATTTAGTCCCACTCCCCCCCCTCCCCTTCACAAAATCCCACAGCAACACACATCACTCAGCTGTCACCGAGTACTGTTGCCACAGCAAAAACCGGTTCAAGGTAGGTCATCTGGTGTCTGTCGAGGGGATTAACTTTTTTTCTGCGAGAAACCGAAACCTTGTCCAAAGGATTTAAATAACTGCAAAAGAGGAAAAACTTGAACAGCTTGGCCTGACTTGGCATTGGAATGGGAAAAATAGTTGTGGGTGTTTTTCATTTGCAATAAAAACAAAAACAACAACAAAATATAGAATATGTCTGTGGACAACACAAGGGGCAAAAGGTGTCGTCTACTGGCATTCAGTTGCTAATTTCTTTGGTGATTACTTTTTGAAACTAAAAGTTTGTCCTGCATGTGGTGGTGTGTATGGTAAACACATGACTTGCATATTTTCTGAAAAGTTTCTGCCGTTTGCCCTCAATGTGTAAAATATTACCTAAGGTCATGCTATTGTAAAGCAATTTAAAATGGGAGAAAACTATAAAAAGTTTGAGACCTACGATTCATTATTCGGAATCGAGTTATTATTCGGAAACATATAGGTCGTGGAGCTACGTGATAAAACATGATAAAAAAAGAACTTGTAGAAGTGGAACTGAGGAAAATTCGATGTGAAGACTGTCTGGTCTTCGATGAGAAGACCTTCAGGTCTTTTAAGAGAAGATATTTTTAAAGGTGTTTCTCGCCTTCGAAGAGAAGATATTTTCGGCCATCGATGAGAAGACCCTCCGACGTTCGATAAGAATAAGTTTTGACCTTCACTGCGAATACCTTCTGACCTTCGAAGATAAGATCTTTTGGCCTTCGAAGATAAGATATTTTTGGCCTTCGATTAGAAGATCTTTGGGCCTTCTGTAAGCAGATCTTCTGGTCTTGGATGAGAAGACCTGCTGGCCTTCGATGAGAAGACATTGATAAAAAGATGAGAAGACCTTCCGGCCTTCGAAGAGAAGATATTTTTGGCCTTCGGTGAGAAGACCTTCTAACCTTCGATTGGAAAACCTTTTGGACTTCGAAGGAAGACTTTCTGGATTTCGACGAGACCTTCCGTCTTTCAAGGAGAAGATGTTCTGGAAAGAAGATGTTCCCCTCCACTTTTTAGGACACTTTGCTATGTAAACTTTCAAAAATATCATAATCTGTTAGATTTTCCTCGTAATTATTGAAAATATTGAATTCTGTCGCCCAGTGTAATTATGGTCATCTTCACTTATTTTCAGTTCCCACACACACACACACAAATATCTATTCATACATACATTTATTCATTCATTCTTCATTCCTTTGACATTTTGATGACATTAACATATATTTTAGCACTGCAATTACCACCACGAAGCTTTCGTCGAACGTCGTTGATGTTTTTCTAAAAACCTCAATTTGCATTTCATAAATGTCAGACGACGAGCTGGGCGGCGCGCGGACAAAGCGAAAACAACAAACGCCGATGAAGAACATAATTAGAAAGTGTACCCAAGAGGATATTTACAAAATACAACGGCACGGCACGGAACTTCTATAAATATGTGTATGTAGGCATGTGTGTTTGTATGTATGTAAATGCTGTTTGACCTCTTGAGCTCCGCCAGCTGTTTGTGCGGTGTAAGCAAATGAGTCAGATGTTTGTGAGTGCGAAGCTTATGTAGGCTAAAATGGTGTGTTCTACATAATTGCAGGCTATTTGAGTTGATGAAATGAAGGGTGGGAGGTAAAGGGTAGGGTGGAACAATTATCTGGTCCACAAGGAAACATATCAATTCCCACCTATTTGTCTTGCGAAACATAACAATTATGAGCAGTTTTTTTTTGTCAACAAAGAAAGAAATCGTTATTTTTTCCCAGAACGACCTTCAGGGATTTCTTTGGGAAACCAGGAGGAATGGGAGGAATGGCTCCATTAAGTCTTGACAATTTATTATGATTATTCGGAAATTATTTTTATACCCTACACCACAAGGTGGTCAGGGTATTATGTCTTTGTGCATTTGTTTGTAACAGGCAAAAGGAAACGAGATAGCCCCTTAGTTCCTTTTGATGATCTGCATAGAATCACATTCTGAGTCGATTTATGCATGTCAATCCGTCCGTCTGTCCGTCCGTCCTTCTGTCCATGTATTTTTGTAAACAAAGTACAGTTCGCATTTATTGCCCGATCCAGATGAAATTTTGCACAAATCATTTGTTTGGCCCAAGGACGAACCCTATTGAAATTGGAGATAATCGGTCAAAATTTAGATTTAGCTCCCATATATATCTTCGTCCGATTTGGCTTTTTTTGTGCACCAAACGTGTAATATCAGTACGAATTGTATGGAATTTTGCACATACGATCAGATTGGACCTGAAAATAAGTATGGCAAATTTGATCGAAATCGGTTCAGATATAGCTATAGCTCCCATATATATTGTTCATCCGATTTGCGTTTTTTGTCCTCTGCAGCCGTAATATGTACCCTGTAACAACAATATTTGGGGAAATATATCAAATGCAGCTCAGAAATACATTTGCCAAATTTTATCGAGATCGGTTCAGATTTGGATATAGTTTCCATATATAACTTCGTCCGATTTAATTTTGGTTGTGCATCAAACGTCTTATATTTGGCCAAATTGGATGAAATTTGGCACTTACGACTGAATTGAGTCTAGAAGCGAGTATGTCAAATTTGGTGAAGATCGGTTCAGATATAGCTCTAGCTTCCATATATACTGTTCTTCCGATTTGTTATATTTGCTACCCACAGCCGTAATATGCACTTCGTAACAACGATATTCAGGGAAATATATCAAATACAGCTCAGAAATATCTTTGCCAAATTTTATCGAGATCGGTTCCGATTTGGATATAGCTCCCATATATATTTTTATCCGATTTCAAATTAATTGTACACCAAATGGCCAATACAAGTCCGAATTTAAAAGATACAAATGCTTCGGCATATTTATCCCTTTGAACTTTAAATTAAAATTATAATCATAGCGTGTATGATTGAATTCTCCCATAAAAACTATTAATTGTTATGCGCAGCTCTACTATATTAGCAAAGAGGTGCAGGGTATCTTAAAGTCGGCCCTGGCCGATTTTAAGAATTTCTTTACTGGTTTATTTATTTCTCATTGTTTTTTTTTTTTGTCGTGCTTACCTTCAGGCCAATTGTCGAACACTGTTTGTGCTATATCACCAGCCGAATCCGTTGGATTAAATAGGAATTCTTTTGTTTTGCCACTGACAAGTATTAAACGCAAGTTTATCTGAAACGAAACGAAAAGAAGAAAAAAGGTGAAATGTGAATAACGATTCTCTCAAATTACCTACACATATGGGCGATTCCATGAAAAGTGAAATTCGATTGCAACAAAAAACGGAATTTCACCCATTTTCTGATTATTTTTATTCATTTATCTAATTTTCAAAGTTATTCTTTGTCTTCGTGAATTGTGAATCAGTGAAACCTGTGTCCAAAATCAAATCAAAAGAATAGTTCATAAAATAAATCGAAAGCAACAAAAAAAAACTTTTATGTGCTTTGGAAAAGGGGAAACAAAAGTCATCACCATTGTCTCTCTCTCTCGTTTTTATCATCATCAGTTCCAGCCATAAACATGAATAGAATAAGAATAAGCCATGAAAAAAACACAGCAACACAACAAGACACACAAATTAACAATGGAACTACTAACCCACTTAGCCAAATGTCTAAGAAGATACCTCAACTGAAGAGCATACACACACAAATAAAACTTATACAACAAAAGACTATGTCAGACGTTATGATTTCGATACACTCGAGAAAAAAATGAGATTGAAATCGAAATGAAAAAAAAAAAAAACAAGTTAAAAAGCAGTAAGTTCGGCCGGGCCAAACATTGAATACCCTCCACCATTTGGAAATTAAAAAAAAATAAAATCCTTTAAAAATTCTGTTAAATTCTAAAAATACCGAATATTGCCGTTATATTGGCGTCTATACGGCGTGGACCTACATATGTATTTTTTGCCATTAACCATTACCATATTCAAATTCGAAACTTGAAATAAACGGTGAATAATATGGCTAAAATCATCAAAATATCGTATATAGGGAGGTACCATTATATCGGAGCTGTGCGAAGACCTGGACCAGCATAGAGAATTTTCTGTCACAGGCTATAGCATCTCTTACTAACGTCAAACACGATATCTTAAACAATTTCGGTGGGTATTGTACCCAAACTCGTCAAAATACCGAATATAGGGAGGTACTGATGTATGGGGCCTATACGAAGACCTGGACCTGCATAGACATTTTTCTGTCACAGACTGTAGTTCCCATTACGAACTCTAAATACGTAATTTGAAACAATTCCGGTGAATAATAGCGCTAAAATCATCAAAATACCGAATTTTGGGAGGTACAGTTATATGGGGGCTATACGAAGACCTGGACCTGCACAGACAATTTTCTGTCACAGACTGTAGTTCCCATTACGAACTCTAAATACGTAATTTTTAAAAGTCCAGGAATGTTAGTCTTGTAGTCCTTAAGGAAATTGTCTTTAAAATCCTTCTTTAAATTTTCAGGATTATCGCTCTGAAAGCCGTCGAAGAAATATTTTTAAAAGTCCAGGATTGTTAGTCTTAGAGTCCTTGAGGAAATTGTCTTTAAAATCATTCTTTAAATTTTCAGAATTAATGCTCTGAAAGCCCTTGAAGAAATATTTTTAAAAGTCCAGGAATGTTAGTCTTGTAGTCCTTAAGGAAATTGTCTTTAAAATTTCAGGATTATCGCTCTGAAATCGCTCGTTGAAGAAATATTTTTAAAAGTCCAGGATTGTTAGTCTTGGAGTCCTTAAGGAAATTGTCTTTAATATTCTTCTTTAATTTTTCAAAATTATCGTTTTGAAAGCCGTTGTTAATCCTAGAGTCCTTAAGGAAATTGTCTTTAAAAATCCACGATTCTTGGTCTACAAGTCCTTATAGAAAATATATCCTTTAAAACCACGGTTTGTGAGTCAAAAAGTCCTTAAAGAAACGTTGTTTAAAAATTTTCGATTTTTTGCCTAAAAGTCCTTGATAAATAATTTTTTAAAAATCTGCACTGGTTGCTTAGAAAGTCCTTGGATCATTTTCCATTTTAAAAAAAATCACTTTTCACTTAACTTTCCACATAAATTTATTAACTTAAAGAGTTAAATGGTCCTTCGCAAAAAAAAAAACAAAAATCCCTGGCAGTCACAGCAGTTCTCAGGAAAATGAAGTCATTATCGCAGTGTGTCTTTGATAGCGGCTTAAAGTTTCATTATCTTAACATGCTGGGCACCAACACACATTGCTATAACCCAGCAGCAGCAGCAGCATCAGTAACAACAACAAAAGTATCATCGACATCACCATCATCATTTGAATCATGCAATGACTTTGACATTTTCCAAGGAAACTGTATTAACAGGGATTTAGGTTTTGTCGAACTTATGGCCCCCGCACTCGCCTCACACACACACACATTTGCAATGAACTCATGCGTAGTATGTGTGTGTGTATGAACATTCAAAAGGATCAGGATTTTCAATTTATGGGCCAAAGTCTAAGTGAGCGTGAGTGTGTCTGTGTGTGGGTTTGTCATCCATACTTTGTTCCACGTTTTCTTTTCAGTTCGACTGAGCGAATGAAAGCCAGCTTGTCAGCCATCTTTCTAAGCCATAATAAAACTACCAAAACGAACATACATACATATGTTGCCAGTGTTGCAACATACTTACTTGTCATTCATTAAGCTTGTTGACTATTACTTAGCTTGTTTTTGTTTTTTGTGTTCTGTTCTCCACTTTACTTTGTCTTGAAACTAATTCCCTTTTATATTTATGTGATATCTTACCTCTACATCTTAAGTTTGGAGTAGAGATTAAATCTTTTTGGGAGTAACCTGGCATACATTAAATGGCAGCTTGAGTGACAGAGTTATTAGCAAGTGATACACTGAGAGAAAAATGCGCAAATGCCACCCAGAAGTCCTTTAAAACTAATTCTTAAAAAAAAAAAACATCACGTCTGCTGTGATTCACGACTTGATCCAGAAGAAAATCCTTCCAATACGACAACAAGTAAAACCAGTAAAGAAAGTCTTAAAGTGGGGCGGAGCCGACTTTATGATACCCTACACCACTTTGCTAATTTAGTAGAGCTCCACATAGCAATTAAAAGTTTTTATGGGAGAATTCAATCATCCATGCTATGATTATAGTTATAATTTAAAGTTCAAAGGACTAAATATGTCGAAGCATTTGTATCTTTTAAATTCGGACTTGTTTTGGCCATTTGGTGCACAATTAATTTAAAATCGGATAAATATATATATGGGAGCTATATCCAAATCGGGACAGATCTCGATAAAATTTGGCAAAGATATTTCTGAGCTTTATTTGATGTATTTGCCTGAATATCGTTGTTACGGAGTGCATATTACGGCTGTGGATAACAAATATATAACAAATCGGATGAACAGTGTATATGGGAGCTATAGCTATATCTGAACCGATCTTCACCAAATTTGACATACTAGACTCAATTCGGTCGTATGTGCCAAATTCAATCCCATTTGGGCAAATATTAGACGTTTGGTGCACAATAAAAGGTAAATCGGACGAAGTTATATATGGGAGCTATATCCAAATCTGAAGCGATCTCGATAAAATTTAGCAAAGGTATTTCTGAGCTGTATTTGATATATTTCCCTAAATATTGTTGTTACAGAGTGCATATTATGGCTGCGGAGGACAAAAATAACAAATCGGATGAACCATATATATGGAGGCTATACCTATATCTGAACCGATTTCGATTAAATTTAGCATACTTATTTTCAGACCTAATTTGGATGCATGTGTAAAATTCCATACTATTCGGGCTGATATTACACGTTTGGTGCACAATAAAAGGCAAATCGGGCGAAGATATATATGGGAGCTTTACCGATGACCGATTATCTCCCATTTCAATAGTGTTTGTCCTTGGGCCAAACAAATGATTCGTGTAAAATTTCATCTGGATAGGGCAATAAATGCGAACTGAACTTTGTTTACAAAAATACATGGACAGACAGACGGACATGCATAAATCGAATCAGAATGTGATTCTATGCAGATCATTAAGAGGAACTATGGGTCTATCTCGTTTCCTTTTGTCTGTTACAAACAAATGCACAAATACATAATACCCTAACCACCTTATGGTGTAGGGTATAAAAAGCACTAAGTTCGGCCGGGCCGAACTTTGAAAACCCTCCACCATTTGGAACGAATTAGAAAATTTTCAAAAATATAAAATCCATTAAAACTTCTGTTAAAATCTTTAAAATACCTAATATCGGAAGTTGCCGATATATGGGGGGATATACGATATTGTGGACCTATATAGACAAATCTATGTCTGCGGATAAAGTGCTCACAAAGAACTCCTTGTGTGGATTTTCAGACCATTCCATTAGAAAATGTGGCTAAAATCATCAAAATAACGAATATCGGGGGGTACCGTTATATGGGGGCTATACGATATCGTAGACCTTTATAGATAATTCTCTTCCGAGGTATAAAGTACCCACAAGGAACTCTTTGTGTGGATTTTCAGACAATTCCGTTGAAAATGCGGCTAAAATCATCAAAATAAGGAATATCGGGAGGTACCGTTATATGGGGGCTATACGATATCGTGGACCGCTATAGCCCATCTTCGAACTTGACCTGCCTGCAGATAAAAGAGAGACCTGTGCAAAATGTTAGTTTCCTATCTTAATTCGTTTAGACTGTAGCGTGATTACAACAGACGGACCGACGGACGTACAGGGTTAAATCGTCTTAGAATTTTACGCTTTGTGGGGTTTAAAATGATTATTTCGATGAGTTACAAACGGAATAACGAGCTTAACATACCCTCCATACTATGTATGGTGGAGGGTATTAATGTTCGATTATTTTAATATATTTTGACTTATGTTATGATTATTCAAATTGTTAACCCTATATGAAGTAGGTTCCGAAGGAACGGGCTCATTACGTTCAGAAAGTATAAATCGACATCTACCATATTTTCAACATATCTTGAGTTGATAGAAGTATTGGAATGTGCGCTTATTTCGCATTTTATGGTAGATTATTCACAATTTTGACCCGTTGTGTGGGAGGTATCAGAAGGATTGAACCGAGATATACCAGCACTCCAGCATTTAAATGTGAATAAAACTTTTGTGTCTCGTACCATCGCTCGTTACCGTGATACT